GGAGGGGGCGGAGTCGGGGTGGCGCGACCCGAGTCCGGGTCGGAGGCAGCGAGGTGTGGGATGGGGACGCGGTGGCCGCTCAGGGAGAGCGCGCGGAGGCGTCCAGGCTAGGCCGAAGAGACCCCCGGCCGCTCTGCGGAGAGTGAGACCCTGGACGACTAGATGGCAGGAGACTGAGGGGAAGGGAGAGAACACGCTCCGGAGGTTGCGGGGGCGGACTCGGGGACAGGGGCGGAGCTACACAGCGAGTCGTGGAACTCGTGGAGAGTGAGGGGAGGAGTAAGAGCTCGGCTGCGGAGTACTGGGAGCGGGAAGGAGCCGGCCCAGCCCGAGCTGGGCTGGGGAACGCTCCTGGGCGCGTGAGTAGCGCTGGATTGGCTGGGAGAACGCGGAGCGGGTGCGCGCGAGACACGAACGCAGCCTCTACCGAGCCCCAGACATAAGCAATCCCCTGCCGAGCCCGGCGCCTCGTCGTTTGTCAGCGGTTCTGGCCGGCTTTCGGGGCCGCGGAGCCGCTCTCCGGAGGGGACAGGGGAAGGCGCCAGGAAACCTGGAGGTGCCTTAGAAAGCTGCGTGGGTGGCAGAACCGCGGCTTCTGTGACAGCCTGCGGTGGGCGAAGGAGGAGGAATCCTGTCCTGCCTCATCTTCCCGCCTGCTTCCTAAGTCTCCTTGCCGGAGGATTTCCCAGCTCCAAGCCTGTACCTACAGGAGGATGCTCACAGGCGAAGCTTAGGAGCCTGCGGCAGAGCACCCTGAGTGAAGATAGTCGGCTTCTCTTCCTCCCGCTGTTCCGTGGTTTTGTGGTCTGAGCTTCATCGCTGAGGTCTCTGCTTCCAGATGAAAAGCGCCGGTCTTAGAGAATGAGAAAAATGTGTTCCTCCCACCCGAACCACAATCACAAACCTGGAAATAGAACCCCGGTGGTGGCAATTTCAGTATTTCTGGGATATGAGATTACCATGAAAATAGCTTTAGTTGCCAGTTATTTTCATGTGTCTTTCGTTAAATGTGTTATTAATCACCTGTGGCTGTTTCACATCGGTTTCTTAGTTTGCTTCTATCTAGCCCTTTCATCGTCTGAATTAAAAAAAATTACACATGTGTATTTTTTCTTCTCAGCTGTGGTAAAGCTGGGAAGCATAAGAATGAAAAAGTTTCAAAATGTATAATCATCAACGTTTGTAGACAATTAAAATCTCAGTTTGAAGATTATGAGTTTTATTTTTCCAACTAGGACGTGAACTTATCCTTTAATTGAAGATTCACATTGTTATGTATTTCATTTTAAATAATGAGAGTACAAAGGAAATGATGGAATTGAGATGCTATTAAATGAATTAGTAAAATTTCTTGTATGTGTATTGCTAGTATTTTCGACGGTGGATTTAAAATTGAAGCCAGATCATGAACCCACTTCCTATAGTAATCTATCACCATAGAGCCTGAGAGACAATGGTTTCTTAACTAGTTTCAAATAAGAGATATATACGTGAGAGTATGTCCAACGGAAGAGTTTCCTTTATCTCAAACTAAAGATGAAGAGCAAGTAGTTGGTTACATTATTACTTTTTCTAACCTGACTTTAGTCTCTCCAGCACTTCAAATTTGAAATGATTAAAAAATATCTTGAATTTTTAGAGATTTAAATTCTGAACCTGCCCACTAACAGATTCTGTAACCTTAAACAAGTTTAGGGCTTTTTCTTCATCCTTTAACTAATGTGGAAGACAAGCACCCTTTCAATTTGGAATATTCTGTAATTATTCATGGAAAGAAACTGGCACTTTTATTTCACAAATAACAGAAAACAAGGGGCTTTTTGTATCTCTGAAAGTAATAATGGTGAAATTCAGTAAAATTTAATTGGGAAGGGTGAATATAAATTGAGCCTTCTAAAGCATATGGAGGTTTGTTTGCTAAAACTACTGAAATTGCTAGAAAAAAATCAATTTTAATAGACGTGAGCTGGACAATTATAACACTTGTCTTTCAACAGTTTTCAAGTGTACTCATCTCTGTTGAATTTAGGAAGCTGTAACAAAATTTATACCAAAAAAGCCCAGTGTCCTTGCTATCTAGTGTGACCTTTTACTGCTGATTATGAATGAATATTGCAGAATGTACATGCTTCTTAACCCCTGTTACTATTTGACATTTCTTCAGAATTCATCCTGGAATCAAGTGTTACAGCAAAGAAAAATTCTGGGAAGTAGAAAGTAGAATTTCCAAACATTGATAAATGTCTCAGGAACATATTGGGGGAGGTGGAAGAAAGTGAAAAAGTTGAGAGTTTGTATATAAAGAGTTAGAAGTGCCCAGGAATTTATCCTCTCCATTCCTAAGATTTTTAATCATGAAAATTACAGGTGTTTACATTAACTGAGAATTAACATAAAAGATAGGTAAACATTTGGCTTACATAATGACTTTCATTATGAAGATAAAACTTCATATTATCAATAGAAATGAATTACTAAATGAAGGAAGGTTGAATTTTTCCAGGAATGGGGTATTTACATTTAGCCCTCCCAGTATTTTAGTTTTCCTGTGGTTGGTCACAATTTTAATGTAAATAAGGCAAAAGCTTACTGGCTTTTCTGGGATCAGACTCCCCTCATTAGCACTAGGGGTGACCAAGAAGGAATTTGGTAATGAACTATTCTTCCTCTAAGGCTTCTTCTATTCTTGCCTCTTTCCTGATTGGCTAATGACCACAACTGAAACTCAGTAGGTTGAAAATAGGTGCAAGCAATATTTTGAATATACTTAATACCACTGAATTATATACTTTAAAATGGTAAATCTTGTTACATGTATTTGGCACAATATTTTTTAAAAAGCACAAGGTGAAGCTCTGGTTGATTTTAACCTATTATTTTCCCCCAAGGAAGCATGAAACAGTTAAGACAAACTTTTGACTGGCTGAATTAAGCAGTGTATTAGTTCCTAGGGCTGCCATAACTAAGTACAAATTGAGTGGCTTAAAACAAAAGAAATTTATTCTGTCACAGTTCTGGAGGCCAGAAGTCTAATAAAATTAAGGTGTCAACAAAGCCATGTTCCCTCTGAAGATTCTAGGGAGGAATTCTTTGCCTCCCTACCTTCTGTTTGCTGCCAGCAATCCTTGGATTTCCTTAGAGAATAGTTACATCTCTTTTTTCTGTTGTCTTCACATGGCTTTCCCTGTGTGTATTTTCTTATAAGGATACAGTCATTACATTTAGAGCCCATCTTAATCCTGTCTGACCTCACCTTAACTAATCACATCTGCAAAGACCCTATTTCCAAATAGGTCACACTCTAAGGTTCTAGGTGGATGTAAAATTTGAGGGGACACTATCCAACTCGCTACAGGCAGTGACTGATTACTGTGTATATCCATGAAAACATATCAATTAGAAATTCAGCCTATTAGAAAAGAATATTCAAAGGTTTCTTTACAAGCTGGGATTTTAGACAACTATATATTTAGAGAAAATACAGTTCTGTAGAATAGAGAATACTGGGGAAATTTTTAGTATTTGACCCAAGTAGCCTAATGCTTTTCCCCCAGAAGTAGTTTTCTGAATTAGAATTTTCTGAAGTCTAATAAGATCAATTTATTCTTTCCTACTAATGAAATTGACATTTTGATTTTAGTTCTGGTGCCCATGTTTGTTATTTTTTAGTGAAGTGAAGCCGAGCCACCTCAATTGCTCATGGAGTTTGATGACACTTACTTGAGAAAAACTAGGACAATATTTTCCAATGTCTGCCATTTTTATTAAAATAAATTTGAACTTTTCCTTGGGCTTTTGATATTATATTTCTGATGCCCTGACTGCTGCTTGAATTTTGTGCCATGGTTCTTTGTATCTTTCCCACTCTTCCTCTCTTCCTCTGAGGTCCCCAACTGGAAATCCAGATGTAGGGATGCTTTTGTTTGCAAGTTACTGATCCTAGTTTAAGCCAAAAGAAATTCATTGGCTCATGCAGCTGGGAAGTTCAGATGTGTATTGGCTTCTCTAGCCTATAATTGAGATCAGTAGTTTTCTAGTCCATCTGGGAATACCTGGACCCTTTCAGAGGTCTACAAGGTCAAAAGTATTTTCCTACTAATACTAAGCCATTATTTGTCTTTTTACTTTCATTTTCTCATTATATATGGTAGAATTTTCCAGAAGCTTCATAATGTGTAGAGATACCATCACTCTTATAGCTAATGGACTGTGTGTATATTTTTTATATTTTAAACTTTTTAATGTAATAAATATCAATAGGTATAACCTACTTAAACAAAAGCTCTTTGGAGCCCTCAATAATTTTTAAGAGTGTAAAGGTATCCTGAGACCAAAATCTTGGGAATCACAGGTTTAGGTGAAGTCCCCATGCCAAAGCACTAAGGCAAAGGGAGCAGCATTTTCTAAGTGGTTAGCCCTCGGTCCTGTACTCACCCAGAGGATCAGGATCAGTTGCACCCCTACCGAATGGACTAAGATCAAGTGAAGATGGATCTGGGTACCACTTGTAAGGCTAGTGCCTGGATAGTTAATACTTAGTTCAGCTCTTACAGACTCCTATCTCTCTCCACCATTACTATAAACTTTATTTTTTCCTGAGAGTGCTAAATTAGATGTTTGATACCACCGCCATTATTTCATGTTAATATTCAGAAGATAGAGAAGCTCTTCTTGGTGTGTGCTGACAATTTACAAGTATCCAAGGTCACCACTTATTTATATGGCTCCTAATCTTATAAAGGAAACAAGGGACAAAAAAGTGATTTCTAAAGAAAGCACTGATTTTCCTCCCTTAATTCAAAGAAAGGGTAGATGAAAATGGAAGAGGACAGTATTTGCTGGAAGAAGAAGAAACTATTAGATAAGGAAATAGAGAATGAGATTTGTTAAATGGAAATATAACATTAATTGAATGCCCAGAAGCTATCTGATTTCTTGAAAGGGCTCTGTCTACAAGGTCTTTAATATACCAAGTCAAGAAAAGATAGTCCCAAACTTAATCACTGACATGGATTGAGTTTAAGTGGACTTTTTAAAAAATCAAAAACATCATGCTATTCTTAAATTATTATTAATTGGTTTCCATTATTCTAATAATGTTCCATTATCTTTAATTGGTAGTAATCAAAGACCAGCTACCCTAGAAAAATATTTTTGTTTCTACAAAAGAAACAAAAAATTATTTTGTTAACTTAAGTAAACTCATTTTCTTCTAGGTTGAGTAATAATTGGAAGAAATATGGTTAAT